TACCGAGTGAGGGGCTCATCCCAACCCCATACATTAGAGAGTACATACTAGCCATACCTGCACTTTTGAGCGCCTAATTAAGTATCTACCTATTACTAGGTTCTACACCAGATGTCGTACCTATAACCTACTATTACTTGAGCTATCCAATTAAATCCTCTGTAATGCAACTCTCCCTGTATCACTGTTACATTTTACGAAATTTTGGATGCTCACCTATATCTTTAGAACTAATTTATCCTCGAGGCATCATCGCTAGAGCTATCCATACCCACAATCCAGTTAACCTAGGCTTTCAGTAACTTACGCCAAGTTCGAGGACAAGTACTTATGAGCCGAGGCCGCTACCATTACCTACTACCGCCCTCATAGAGTTCACCCAAACCCCAGCACCCACTATACGGACTATCTCCCCATTATTCCAAACTTCCAATCCAGTTAGCCTGGAAGTGCTATGACCTGCCCTTGGTTCTTACGATTGGGTCCTTTTCCTCTGGTTACTCTTCCGGCGGCCAGGTTGGTGAAGAGTGCCTTGCCAAACACTTCGGTTCCGTCTGGTTTTCTGGTTTCTGGATAATCCTTTACGTAGTGCTGTCGAAGATCTGTGCTACCTCTCTACTCGAGTCTTGCCAAGCAGGCTCCCGTACCCTGTAAATTTGCTGGATTTATCTGGTAGCTTCACTTGGGTTTTGTATAACTTGTACATCACACTACATGTTCCACTACCTCCCAGTACAAGCTGGTACGACCATTATTACAGGTTCTATAACCCAATAGGATACAGTCTTCCAAATGTATTTTTTTAAATTCGAATTTTCGTCGCCGGTGGGATTCGAACTCTAGTCCTGCTGCTTGGGGGTGTGACAACTTGCCAACTTCACTAAGTCGCCACACCCTTTAAAGTTGTATATTATATACTAATCTTTAAGTTTTATAGTATTATTATTCAATATACTCTATAATGAATACAGTCTAACCTCTCTACAATTATACCCTCAGTTCTAAGAAATTCTGTGCTTATAAGAAATTGTGCTTGTATAGGTCAAATCTCTTATGTTTTATATATGTTTATTCTAAAAATTAGTATGCTTATAAAGAGAGTATGACTATATAGAGAGTGACTGTATGGAGGGCAGACTGTAGTATGATATAGCAAAATCTAGTATAGGTGTGCAAATATCAATTTTTATTTTTTTAAAATTAACTATTTATTACTTTAATCTATAATATATTAGATTATATGTTGGCAAAGTTATAAAGCATTTGCCAGCATTTTGAATTACTTTTTATTATTTGCTTTATATACAAGCCTGTATCGAAAATTGTGGGCAATGCTAGGTATATTGGCAATATCTAATAGAATGGTTATGTAGAATGCTACAACTGATGGTTCAATCTAGTCTGCACCTATATAAGAATTTAATAAATAATGTTTTACTGCTAGATCAGTTTTATTATCTTCAATTTGTACTAGCTATATATACAAAAATTTTTTCTTTAAATCCAACTAAACAGTATTATCTGCAACAAGTTGTTTGGATTGAAAATGGTAAAGAAGAACTTTGGGCACCTAAATTAGATTATACTTTAAATAATATAAAATTTATAGTATTATCAAATTTTTATAAAGCTAATTTGGATGAATATATTGCAAAAGTAAGTTTTATTTTATAAAATTTTACTATTAATTGTTGTACTAATATATTATTATATAAGTTAAATGACTGGGAAGCAAAATATTTCAAATTGCAAACTAAAGAAGGTTATATGCTTGGTTCTTTAATATTGAAAGTAGTAGCTAATGCATGCGACAATTCATGTATAATAGTTAGTAATTCTTATTAAATATATTTATATATTTAGAACATCTACTTATATGTAACTTATATATTTAAAAAAGTATGAACTTGAAACCAATATTGCTAGACCAAATAATCCAGAAAAATATGAATTGCAAAAATATTTTGGTTATGTGCAATTTTATTTTATTATGTGTTTCAAGGAAAATATCAATTACTTGCATATATTCACAATGTAAAAAATGTGCGAAAAGGATTATATAACTTAAAGAATTCGGTGAATATGAGTTTGTAGATGTATTAACAATATAAGATGTGTAGGTTTTTTAAAATTAGCAAAATATTCGTATGTTATAGATAAGACTGATTACTTAGATATGTAATTTCAAATTAAATTTTTTTGGATAAATAAATAGAACTATTATTGAGGCAAAAATAAAATAATTTCTTCATATATACTGTATATTAACAAAATAATATATATATGTTGTAGGTGGTTTTAGAATATTAGCAGATTCAGAATCAACTTAAAATTGCTACTAAATTAACTTACAATTCTAAAATAACTTGAATGTGAATTAAACTTTTCAGTGAATAGCGAAAACTCTCAGTATGCAAATAATCCAAGTTCATATAAATGGCAAATAATTAATTACAACAGTAATAACATTTACTAAAAGATTTTTCTTCGCATTGACTTTCTTCTTGAGTTGGTATTTTTTGTAAGAATAATTGCAAACCAAAAATTGATATTATCTAACTGAGCTAACATATACCATCCCATATAATATGCATATAACATTCCTCTTCAGTTCTATAAAGCATGCATGAATATGCTATTTAACACTTGCTATTATTTAATATAAAATATACATATATGCGTCATCTTTCCTGCTATCATGTATATTGTACATGAATGCATGTAGATTATAACCTGTTCAAAAACAAACCAATAATGAATGGTTATGAAACATGCTCATATGTACCACCTAATACACGTGCCAATACTGTAAAATGTAATATACGTACCATTCTGTTATGTGTTTCATGCCTTTACATACCACATGACACGTGTCTATTCAGACAACCCTGTGCAAACCTGTACCAACATCCGGTCTACTTTTCTCATAGAGCATCAGTCAAATTCAGCATCAGCCATAACATTTCTTAATGCCAGCCTAAATCTGACCTATAATTCAGGTAGATCTGCTGAAATTTTGTTTCTCTGCTAATCTATCCAGTCAGAGCCCCTAAAATACTGGTCACATGATGAACACCACAGCTGCAGCTATGTGTTTCTAAACTCCAACAATCGTAAATTGCTTATATATTCCAATAATAGTAAATTGCTTATATATTATCGTTTCATGATTGGCGAAGATTTATTATATAACAGTAATTTGGGGCCACCCTGGCTATTTCATTGGTAACTCTCTGCTATAATTTCTACTCCTCATGAAATAAATAATACAAATTCTTAACTGAGACTTATAAATTCTTTCTTAAATCAAAAGTTTCTTATATCGAAGATTTTCTATGTAGTTCTTTTAATGTCATTTACTTTTTTTTTTCTTTGTAATACTTATGGATTTATAAGATATAGTTTACTGACATTTAGTTCATAATATTTAAAACATTCATAGCATAAAACATTTAAGATGTTTAATAATAGAATCACAATTCATAATTATAAGTTATTGTATAGTGGGTAAAAAAATATTGATACAATAGTATGGATGTAGATTAGTGATCAGATCAAATATCTGTTGGAGGTATGTGGGTTGAGATAGCTGCCCACATTCCTCCAATAGATATTTGATCTGATCAGTGATTTACATTCATACCATCATGTCAATTTTTTTATCCTCATACAATTACGTTATTATTTTTTGGCAGTTGTTACTGCCATAATCATTTGATCTTTTTAAAAAAATAGGTATGCATTTAAAAGTCAGCTGATTTACTACATAATGTGTATAAGAATTTTTTTATGCTTATGTCATCTCTTTCTTTCTCTTTTGCAAAAAAAACTTCTTTTGCAAAATCGGCATACCTTAAAATGATCTCTAATTTTTTTAAGAACTACAATGCCTAAAGTAGACAAGCAAAAGGTTTATCTGCATATTTATTTGTAGTTGTTTATTTATTATCACTATTTATATATTTATTGAACTTTTTTAGAAACATTTACATATGTGGAGCCCACACTGGAAGAAGTTACAGCATTACAGAGAAAATCTGTTATAGAAAATACATATAAATCTACTTTAAATTGGATTAACTAGTTTGAAAAATATCGTAACGATACCAATCTTCCTGGTGAATTATCTGATATTTCAGATTCAAAGCAACTTGAAGAAGAACTTTGTAAATACTTTACTGTATGTCGCAAGACTAATAGTGATGAATATTCTGTAACATCTCTTCAATCTGCAATTAATACATTTAATTAGTATTTTAATAGTGAGACAAGGAAAATCAAACTAATTGACTTAAATAATAAAAAAGCACATCCTGATCTTTGGCGAACATTAAATGGAAAAATTAAAACATTGTCTGCAAGTAGATATGGAGAAACTAATGGGTCTGATACTTTAACTATCGATAAAGTTCAAAGAATTTTATTGCATCCTTAAACATCAAAGTTGTATCTCAAGGGATTATTAAATAGAGTTTTTTTTTTAATGCACTTTGTCTTGGTTTGCATGGTGGAGAGCATTTTTTATTAGAGTGTATATTTTTTTAAAAAATATGAATTCTGGCAATTATGAAATTAAGCTTTTTCGATAAAAACTAATCAAAGAAGTCTTGAAAGCCCTGGTGTTACTAAAACATTTTCTATTCCACCTATCTTTGATATTATTGAATCATATAATAAATATATAGCCAAACATCCTCCTGATGCTGATTCTCAATTCTATCGACATCCTATAAAAGGAATTAATGATAAGCAAATAATTATGTTTAATTATCAGTATCTAATATTTTTATCTAAAAAAGTTAATTTTTTATTTAGATTTTAAAACTGTTGATATCTGGTATAAAAAAATGTACCTTGGAGAGAATTTTATGAAAGCATTTTTTAAGTGATTAGTAGAATCATGTGATATTGATATTTCTGGTCATAAAATTATAAACCAAACTGGGCGTAAAACTTTAATTCAACTTTTAAAATCTCTTGGATTATCTGATTATGAAACAATGTCAATTTCACGTCATAAATCACAAAAAGGGTTAGCATCTTATAAGTGTCCAATTAAACATGTACAAGAACTTGGATATCAAGCTTTAAACAAGGCAATTAATTATCGTTCTGAAGAAGCAAATAGTAAATTTTTTTAATTAATTAATTATTAATTAATTAATTAATTAATGGGATAATTTATACATCGCATATGTGACATTGTCACCCCATAAGATCAGGTGTAATGTAAATCAATACAACAAAAATAAACCAAATTATTTCATATAGTTAGGATTAGGGTTAGATTGGGTTAGAGTATGGGTGAAAATAAGATCTTATAGTAAAATTTTGCAAGGAATTTTTTTTATTAAAGCAAAAATATGGTTTCATATGCAAAATTTTGAGTTATAGGTGATTTTTGCAAAACGAACATTTGTTTTGAATTTTTTGATCATGTAACGTTACATCTGATCTTGAAATTTGATTAGAAGAACGACATATAAAGTGCATTGCATGATGCGATGAATAAATTTGCTCTTAATTAATTTATTTATGTTAGAACCACTTGTAGCTACAAATATACATAGAAATGAATTATCAGGTTTTATATCAGCAAGATCATTATATCAAGGTTAGAATTTATTAATTTATTTTGTTAAATAAATTTTTTATTGTAATAATTTTTTTATTTTGTTTAGAATCATCCACGTCTCTTAACAAACCAATTCAAACAAATTTGTTACAAAATGAATCAATACAAATAAATTTGTCACAGAATGGATCAGTTCAAGAACTAAATGAATTTATTCGTGGTGCCACATTTATTAATTCTTCAGTGGCTATTCATTTTCATATGCATTAATATTCGCTTAAAATTATATATAAGATTTTAATTTACATATCTTGCTTAATAAGAATTTAAAAAATTCAAACAGATTACAGTTATTTATATCATTTAATAAGAATTTTAAAAATGAAAATCTAATTGATACTACAATCTTCAATAAGAATTTTAAAAGTGAAGACCTTCTTAAATTACTGGCCCATCTAATAAGAATTTTAAAGCTAAAACCCGATTGATGCTATTTTGTTCAATAAGAATTTTAAAGATAAAGACCTAATTAAGTTACTGGCCCTATCTAATAAGAATTTTAAACAAAGATCTATTTATCGTGCTTTTCAAAAAGGTTCTTTGATTTTAAAAATTTTACCGATCAAAAAATATAGATTAATAAACAATTTTGTATCTCGAAAATTTTTCCCGATTATCATCTTAAAAGCATCTTTTTGAAAAATGCTATAATTACTGACCCCATCCAACGACCAAAAATCTACTTAATTTATTTGCCACATATCGATATAGTAAGAATTTTAAAAGCGAAGATCTGATTGAATTATTAACCCGCGGAATTTTAAAAGTGAAGTTACTGGCCCTGTTTAATAAAAAGTAAAAGTTTGATTATGTCATTGTTTTGTTTATTTAATTGATCCCGCCTTATAAGAATTTTAAAGCTCAGCCGTACAAATATGATCAAAATTTGGTATGGCAGTAACAACATGGCCGTACAATAATATTCGATATTGTCTAATCCATAATATTCAAAAATGCTCAACTTCCTATTTTTGATAAATAGCTACAAATAATAATTAAAAAATTAATTACAACACAACACTAATAATATTTTTTGTGAAAAAGATGGAATTGATGCGTTTTTAAATTGCATCTATATGCATTTAGAATATGTTTGTTAATTATACACATGTAAATTTAGTATTTAAAGTAA